AGTTTCGTATTACCTGGAATTCTGCATCAAGAACTAAACTTTGAAAAAAAAAATGAATTTGGCACCTTTTCACCTTTAGATAGCGATATAATTTATGGCGTACTTGGGCCAAGATTCCAGAAAAGTCTGCCGATGGGCTCGTACTCCACCATATTTCAGGCGGAAGTCTTCCCAATCGAAGTCTGTGTTCACGAATGTCATCATCGCAAATAAGGCCAGAAAAAATATTATGTCGGACATTCAGGCAGCGATAAAGGCCTTGGAGTCTTTTAAAACGGCATCAAGGCTTGTAAACTCTTGAACCACCTGCGAGCCCACAATAGCGTCACGCATGAAGGGTTTGAAGGCAACGAAAGGGTTGACTGTCTCGCAAAGCGTGAAGCCCAAATGCGTTTGCATGGTCCCTAGCCTTTCTATGGTACATCTAAAGGATACACTGTAGACCTACTTAGGAGCTAGCTGAGAATAATCTCAAATTGCTGCCTACTGGCGGAAGTCAAAGGGAATAAGGCAATCAAAGGTATGCATAACTCTTTCCAGCAGGAACTCCGAAAGACACCTTGAACTTAGAACTCTTACTGGCAACCTGACAGCACACTGCAAGTTAACGTACGGTTTTAATTAAATGGGGTTTTCTGTAGAGACGGACTGTAGGGTTTGTCGGCTGGTGAAAGAAACCCCAGAGTATATTCTATGTGCCTGTCCACGAAGCATCAATCGTAGATTGATACACCTTGGTGAACGATTGCTTTCTCCATATAAAATTTGGAACAAGGCCTCGTCCAAAGTGCTGAGTTTTTTAAATAGCCTAAGGTTGGAGTGATTAAAATTTTGATTTAGCACAATATATCTTCTTAGGTCGCAGCACGGGTATATTCGACGTAATAATAATAATATCGTCACTAGACACGAATAAAGAGCTCGGAAAAGCTCTTTGGGGAGTTCTGGGGAATACTGTTGCACTCGAAAATATAGTTGACCGCGGACATAAGTTTATGGGTCTTTCTTTGTCAAAGAGGTTAACGCGGCTTTATTTGCCGTCACCTATGTCAAGAGTTTTACTTCGCCGAATTTTTTTACGCCTCTTTTTTCGCTATCAACTTTTGAGCTCGCGTCTCTATTCGTNCACTCGAAAATATAGTTGACCGCGGACATAAGTTTATGGGTCTTTCTTTGTCAAAGAGGTTAACGCGGCTTTATTTGCCGTCACCTATGTCAAGAGTTTTACTTCGCCGAATTTTTTTACGCCTCTTTTTTCGCTATCAACTTTTGAGCTCGCGTCTCTATTCGTTTCTAGTGACGATATGTATGTATGTGTAAAGAGACATATGTACATATGGATAAGTCTGTACAGTAAAATGAATCGTTATACGCAGTTAATTTGTTTTTATTAATCTAGTCGTGTTTTAGTTTTACTAGTTTATGTTAACTATGTTTTTAAAAAATTTTACATTGAAAACAAATATTAAAACTCAAAAAAATGTTTGGTAGGTTTTGGTTGGTTATGGTAGGAAATTTTGGTAGGAAAAAAATTTGCCTGTGGCAACGCTGGCACCGAATCTCGGATTCAAAGTGAAGTTGGTTATATTTGCTTTGGAAGTGAATTGTAGAACGCGCCTGATAGCGACAGTACGAATTCATTAAAAAAAATTATTTTTCAAAAAGTGTGATGGCAAAAAACATACATACTATTCAGGAAGTGTGGCAACTGAAATTTAAAAAATGTGCTGTGAAAACAGCATCCCCTACGAAGCGACATACATTTGTGGATACGAAAGCTGGCAGAAGATATTCAAAAAATTATTCATCCAGTTGTGGATTACAATGCGCATTATTTCACCCCGAAAACATTCTTCTGCCATCATAACAGACACAGACCAAACAGCACGCTTCGAAACTTATGAGAAAATAAATAATATAAAAAAAACTTTTTAATATACAACGCTTTTATAAATGGACTAAAAAGTAGAAAATAATATTTCTCAGTC